ATTACAAGCACACTCCACCACGCCTGGCTCTTAACCTGCACTTTCTAACGTGAATGTGTGCACATGCACCCACCCTCTCTCCTACACCCTAGCCTAGAAGGTCCCCCTCATCTAAACAACACTGGAGAACTCCTATGCAGCCTTCACCTACAATCACGCCTCCAAGAAGGGCTCTGCTCCCTTCCCCATTTGCGCCTAGCACCCTCTTGCTCACCCCTCTTCCACCACTCAAGCCCTGAACCTCAGAGGTGTCTAGGTATCAGAGCTCACCCTGGCAACCTCTGAGGCAAGGGGCCACCTCCGGAGCCACCCCCACATCCTCTCCGGACACAGTCGGTGCTGTGTATTGCTGGACAGATCCAAGACCCATTTAAGAATTTAGCCTCTGTCTTATGGAAGATCAACTCCCAGGAATTTCTTTTTTTGTTTGTTTTTGTTTTTCTTGTACCAGGGACCTTGCACTTGCGAGGCAGGAGGTGGAACCACTGAGCTACATCCCTGGCCCCAGGAATTTCAGATGAATGAATTACCATACTTCACAGACAAGTGAAATGATGAAAAGACTTACTTTTCCTCTGGTCCCCCCATTTCCTCAGTCCTGGTTGGGGGTGTGGGGTGGGGCGAGGCGTCCTCGCCAACCCTTCTGAAGACCCCAAGAGCGCCCCCACGCGGCATGACTCAGTGGCACCTGTTAGCAGGATCACTGGACCCATGCCGGACAGTTGGACGTGAGCTGGACATCCCCGTCGGTCCCAGGGCCGAGGAAGGAAGCGAGAATTCTATTTTGGAATCCTGTTGTAGGCAAAGAGAAATCGCCGGGTTCGCGCAGAGGTGAGGCCCTGCCGGCACCAACAGTGGACGCGGACTCAGGCTGACGAGGGTCGTGGACTGGCTGTTTTCCCTCCTGGCGACATTGCCACAGGACCGCGGAAGCCAGGCTCCTCATCCCCCGTGTCACTTGCAGGCCTGCTTGGGGACTCGGGCGTGTGAAGCCTCCGAGCCCCTAGAGAGCCTGGGAGCGGGGTGGGGGGGCTGTCACTGTCCCCCTGGCCCCCCCGCATGAGGCCCCGCACGGTAGGAGCTTCGTGTTCGGCTCCCTGTGCGGAACCCACTTGAGACTGAAGAGCTTTCTCTCTGATTGAACTTGAAACCTAAATGTACCCCCGTGC